ATTGAGAACCTAATAATGTACGAAGCTGGTCGTGCCTCGCGCCTCGCGGCCCGTGCTAGACATGTGCCGTGCGGCGAATTCGCCCATTGAGCGCGCGAAGATAATTGCGCGTTCCGAATCCGTCATGTTGGACGAGCGTTCGTCTGGTTCCCGATTGCATGCACCCTCTCATAGTGCTCTGGGCCGCGTGGGCGAAGCTGCGTGCATTTTTTCAGTGCGTGAGACAGCTGCCCCGAGGATAGCACTCGGAGCATAGCGAGCGGTGGGCTTGCTGCGATCCACATGTGTAACACGTACCATACTTTGGCAACGTTTAACATATATATATATACACACATGTGTTCACTATGCATGTCATGACTGATGATAGCATGTGTTGTTCCGCCCACGCGGCGACTGTTCGGGCCTGGACTGTCGGTGTAGGATCGTGACAACATTAAGAATTAGAGTGTCCACCCATGTGTTCAATATACATCCAATGAATGGTGACAGTCTTTGGTGTCCGCCCATGTGGCGACTGTTAGGCCTGTACGTTTGGGGTAGGATTGCTATCTGCAGCTGTCGGTTGCCCAATAATGTTGCGGCGAGCGGCCAAGCGGCGTCTCCCCACGCCAGACTCGGGAGCGTCTGCCTCCTGCTCGGGCGATGGCCGCGACTGTGATTCAGATAGTGTCCATGAGGTCGAGGAGCGCAACAGTTCGTCTTCTCTATCCACGCTCATGCTGAAAGACTGGGCGTGGGGTCGTTTGTATGGCACTGAAGTGCATAGGTATTGTTTGGCTGCGTACCGTGACGGGATGGCGGGCGTCAAGGAAATTGCAGACATCGCGGCCATGGGGGGCTGGGGCGAACATCAGCAGAACATTCATCGAGATTTAACTCGCAAGTACTTGAAAGATATAACATTGCCTAAACCAGAAGTGTTCCCAGTACGCTGCGTTGAGCCAGGGACTTTGAAAGCCATTCAGCATAATTGTCATTGTATGCTGCCTCGCGATATGTTCAGCAGCCTGTTCCATTCGCATCGGCTTGAATTTCAAGAAACGTTCGGGTTGGAACGTATGCCTGCCTTTTGGGCGGGTGCGAGCAGGCTCAGGGAGCTGAACGTAAGATGTCGCATGTCTCCAGCCACGTGTCGTGCGTAGACAGCGCGATCCACTCGCAAGCAATGCCTGCAAGTGGCGCCCCAGACATGTTTCTGGAGTCTGGCATACGTTGGACAACGCGGCGTATTGGTGTGACCGACAAAAACATCAGGCAAACGCGTGCCTGAAGTTTCTCTGACGTTTGACAAACGTCAGAGGTACATCAGACAAACGTCTGCCTGAAGTTTCTCTGACGCTTGACAACGTCAGATAAACATCATACAAACGTTTGTCTGAAGTTTCTCTGACGTTTGGCAAACGTCAGAGAAACATCATACAAACGTGTGTCTGAAATTTCTCTGACGTTTGACAAACGTCAGAGGAACTTCAGACAAACGTTTATATGACGGTTGTCTGACGTGTGCCAGTCTCATGGGGCGGTGTTACAGCTCTGAAACCAATGACAGGTGCGTCGCCCAGGTTTGGTTTTACCCCCATCAAGATTCACACGGTGTGCGTCTGCAGTTTCGTCTAATTCCTTTCCAGGTCCGACCCCCGTCTCCGCAGACACCCAGTTTGGAAGATCCCTGACCGCGAGAAGCACGCCATCCCAATGCGAATACATGGCGACGGTGGTGAGATCTTAACTGCTGAGTCAATGATGGTTATATCGATGTCTGGTCTGCTTGCACGGGGCTCGTCACGAGAGTTGTCATTGTTGATAGGGGCGTGGCCGTACAGTGGCACTGCAAAGAGGAAACACCACGACGGACACGACACGTGGCACGAGATATGGCGAGTCGTTCGCTGGAGCTTGAACGCCCTCGCTCAGGGCCGCCATCCATCCAAAGATACCATCGGCCGTTGCCTTTCCCGCAGACCCCCAATACATCGCCAACCTTCTGTCGGTGGCTGTCATTCTGGTTTTCGGTTTCGAACGCCTCACGTTTCGACAATTACTGATCCATTGCGTTGTGGCGCGTAGTGTTTTCCAAACCGCTTCAAGATAATGCATTGTCCATGGCTTGGGCTTGCTCGTCGTGGGCGGCGGATTGGAACAATGAGGATTTCGTCGCTGGCTCCCGCCGCGCCCAATTAGCAGGAGAGCTGTTGTGCGACAGCCAGACGCCATACAGAGCATGGGTATACGCAATCATGGGTGATCTCGAATTCTACGCCAACCATTTGGGAGCCCCGTCTAGCAATTCAGTCAAGATGTGTTGGGCGTGCGATGGGAACAGGTCCGACAACCCATGGAATGATTTCAACAAGGACCCATGGGCTTTGAAACTTACGATTTGTCTCACCCCCTCCCCCCTCTTGGGAATTGGGAGAAGGTGGGTGGTGGTGGAACAGGTTGTGGGTACCGATGCGAGGGAGGACAAGGTGGCGGCGTGGGGATGGATGGATGGGGGAAGGAGGATGAGGGGTTGGTTTGGTTGGATGAATGACATTGTTAAAATCCATGCCATAGGACCGTGCCCCGTGGATGACTCGGCCACGTGCCGAACCATACGTGTTCAACCACCATTTGTTTAATGTATGGGGGGTGCGTGGCGCGACGCTGGCGCCCGACGCCATGCACACTGTCGATTTGGGAGTAGCATCCCACGTCTTGGGAAACATATTTTACGAACTAGTGTATGAACAGACCGCTGGTCCAGCAACCGATGCAGTCGGTATCTTGTGGAGAAAGATCAAAGAATTATATAAGGATCTCGGCGCGCGTGGGCATAGGATGTCGTCCCACAGCTGTCGCTGATCCGCCGCTGTTTCTTGACCATGGTATACGGCTGTGTGGTTGCATTGCGTTGGTTGACGGTTTGGCGTGCGGTGAATTATATCATATGTGTGGTGTGGAATGAATGGGGCGTGAACGTGTGACCAATTTCATTTCATCTTGCGAGCCGTGTTTCTGGTGTTTCCAGAGCGCGGGCGATTCGGGCTCAATTTTTTCTTGTCTAATTCGAAAAGCCCTCATGCATACTACTCGTGTATGACTACTAAGACCAAGGCGGCTGCCCAGCGAGCGTTGCTTCCAGTTGCAGCTGCGCTGGCATCATCGTATAACGATGGTACTAGAATGCGACAGATGAGGGACGCGTGTGCGTCCAATTTGAACACGTTCTATCAGATCATTGAGGCTGCAGGGATGTACCTTTCAGACGAAGAGCATCAAGCATGCATGACAGCAGTTGAACGCACGTTGGTTTTTTACAGTGCGTTGGCATCGGATGCTAAATCGCAAAATAAGTTTAAATGGAGTATTGTGAACAAGCATCACCACTTCTGGCATATCGGAGAATCTACTAAATACATCAATTGTAGGTGGTTGTGGTGTTATCAAGCCGAAGATTTTATGCGTCACATCTGTAAGGTCGCAAGTACAGTAATGATGGGATCGCCGCTGCTCCAGCTGTCGTGTAAATTATGCGAGCGTTGGAGAATTGGCTACTATTTCGATTTAGTTCGGCCAAGTGCCGACTGATTGGGAGCGCGCCAGAAACGGCGGGCAATGGAGGGGCGCAACAACAAATCTCCACCGTTTCCTCATGCTCCTCCGTCTCGTCCTCCTCCGCCTCCTCCTCGTCCTCATCTTCACCCGCCTCCTCCTCCTCCTCCTCTTCCTCCTCTTCCTCCTCCTCCTCATCTGCCTCTCCCCTCATCCGCCTGTCATTCCATTTCTGTTTCATCCACATCCTCCTCCCCCCGACCTAACAAATGCCCCCCCTCGTCGTCCTCCTCCTCCTTCGTTCGCCTTCATTATTCAATTCGTCCGCGCCATCATCCGAACCTCTCTGGCCCCCCCCCTTCCCCCACTTTATCACTTGCATTATGCATATCCCCGCTCCTGCCTCTTCGCTCCTCCCCCCGATCCCTCTCAACATCTGTATGACCGATGACGGTGATGACGATTATGGTGCCTATGTGTGGTGGCGATAATGATGATGCTGGTAACGATGGCAATGCCGATGCTGATCGTGATTGTGATGCAAGTATTGGGGTGGTGATGGTGCCGTATGTATTCGTGATGTTGATTGTGATGAACATGATGATGAACATATGGATAACGATGATGATGATGAGGAGGAGGATGATGATGATGGCGATGATGATGACGATGATGCTGATGATGATGGTTATGATGCTGGTGATGTTGATGATGATAATGATGATGATGATGGTGATGATGATGATGCTGATGATGCTGATGATGATGATGATGATGATGATGATGATGATGATGATGAACAACACGCGGCTCAGATCAAACGCCCTACGCATAACACGCGTCGGACGGTCAAGCACGCACGTTGGTCTGACGTTTGCCAAACGTCAGATCAACATCGCCAAACATCTGCGCCCCATCTCTGGATCAGCTGCGCCCCATTTTGCGACGCATGTCGCGCCCCATCTTTCCTCTGATCGCGCACCATTTTTGTGCGTTCGAGCGTACCCCACGGCGCCCCATCTTACAGGTTATACCGGTTGAGCCCCATTTTTGACAAGGTTGTTCAACGCTACCCATTTTTTGGGGGCGCGGAGCATCTGGGAATGCGTCGTGGCGGGCGGTTCCTGGCCACAACGCTCGGGAAACTACCTGTTCGGGTCGGGCGCGCGCCCCCAATGAGGACATACAGTATCAGCATGTCTCCTGTGCGTCCCATGACTCACCACCCACCAAACCACCCCAACCCAACCCGAAGGCCCAAATTTATCCTCGATTTCCAGTGGGGGGGGTCGGGGAACGTTGAAAAAACACATGGTATCCGTACCCCCCCCCAACCCGAAATTCGGGTCAAATTTGGGTCTTCGGGTTGGGTTGGGGTGGTCTGGTAGGTAGTCAATGAGTACCCGTTGCGGTGCCGGGATGGGCGGCGACGAAGACGACGCCGCGATGAGCCGGCCGCGGAGGCCGCGGCGCCGGCGGCGCCGGCGCCCACCGTGCTGGGCGCGCCGGGGCCGAGCGGCGGGAAGGCCGCGGCGGGCCGCGGCGGGGCTGCGCCCTCGTTCGGGTTGGACTGCACGAGGGGCCACTGGTTTCACCACCACTGCCACAGGCAGGACTGGGGAGGAGTGAGGATTCTCCTCTTCCTCCTCCTCCTCCTCCTTCTCCTCCTCCTCCTCCTCCTCCTCCTCCTCCTGCACCTCATACTCCTCCACCTTTTTCTTCTCATCCTCTCCCTCCTCCTCCTCCTCCTCCTCCTCCTCCTCCTCCTCCTCCTCCTCCCTCTCCCGCCTCTGGTAGCGGTGGTGGGAAATCGGCCCATGAACCACATCTAGGAGCGACCGTGCGCCAGAGTGACATTGGGTGTGGGCTCTCGCGGAGGCCTAGAGGTTAACGCCAGCACCAACATCGGTGGTGTGCCTCCACCGAGGAAGGAGCACGAGCCCGATCTCGGTGATGGTGGCAGTATTTGGGCTTCTTAAGGAAATCTGGGATCATTCTCCCTCGGTATTGGTGTTGGTGCTCAGGCCCAAGCCTCCTACACTCGAATGGCGAAGCGTCATTGCATGGCTTGCCTATAGGCTGTAGGCCTCGTCGTGAACGTTCGAAGAATTTTATGTGGCCTGCACGACATGCTCTTGGACCATTTCTGCCTGACATGGGCTTGTTTTAATACATCGGGTGTATGCTCTAAGAACATTGCTTTCGCTAGAAGAACATTGTTGAGTTAAGATATGTTGTAGGCCTATAGGGATGCCCGGACGGTCGGTCCCTCTTCAATTTTCGCAGGAGTGACTTTTTGGTGTGGGCACAGCGGAGCGATAGCAACGTCTTGCGTGCTCGGGCCCGGCCTCCCCGACGGTCGCGCACCGGAGGACCTCCTTGCCTCGGGTCACTCCTTGCGTGGAGCCGAGGCCTCCGCAGCAGGGGCGGAGCACTGGAGGCCCTGGGGGTTGCCTCGGTGTGGCAGCTCGCGGGCGCCCGGTATCGGAGCGCACCTGGGCACCAGGCGTCTTGGCATCGCTCGGACGTGTGCATGTTTCCTTCGGCGGGGACCGTCGAGGAGCATCCTTGATCATTTGGCAAGAAAGCCGTCCGAGCGATGGCGAGGTATGCGCCTGCACCGATCTCGGCCGGGCCGGTCTTGGGGGCTGGGGGCGCGGCGGCGGAGGTGGCAGAGGAGGAGGAGGGAGGAGAGGAGAGGAGCACGCGGGGCGCCGCCTCTTCTCACCACGGGCAGGGGCCGGGCTGACGGGGCTACGCGGGTGGAGCGCGGGCGTCGTGGGCGCGAAGGAGGAATGATGCAACAAAAGACGGACCAGGATGAATATAATACGTGTATATATACATATATATATATATATGCATATATATATATATATGCATATGCACATGTATGTATGTATGTATGTATGTATGTATGTATGTATGGATGTATGGATGTATGGATGTATGGATGTATGGATGTATGGATGTATGGATGTATGGATGTATGGATGTATGGATGTATGGATGTATGGATGTATGGATGTATGGATGTATGTATGTATGTATGCATGTATGTATGTATGTAAGTATGTATATATATATATATATATAAACATCTAGTTATGTTTGGCTGCTCAAGCCCTCTGTGCACCGATCCTGGGCCCAGGATGAGCCTGGCCAGCATCGGCGCGGGCGTGTGGCCGGCGCCCCCCCCCCCACCGGATGGCCTCGATGTGGCGTCGATCAGCGTCGGCCACCGTCGATCTGCAAGATAGGGCTGGACCTAAACGGTGTTTTGGAGATTTCGTGGGCCGTTTTCGTTTCGACTTCGTTTCGCAGTAGAGGTGGATTGAAGACAACACGAGGGGAAAGCAACAACAAAACGAAAACAAAAAGCACCGTTTAGGTTCAGCCCTGCTGCAAGAGCCAAGAGGACGACACGGGAGGCTCCCACGAGTTGCCACTCAAGGTTTGCCCCAGCACCGATCTCGTTGGCTGTGTCGCTGCCTCCACGGAGGGGAGATGATCCCAATCTCGGTGGTGGTGGCGGTCTTCGGGCCTCCTTGGGGGGGTCAGGAGGTCACCACCAGCGCCAAGAGTCTAGAGGAGCATCCTCCCCCAGTGGCGGCTAAACCCCGTGTGTTGGTGTCGGTGCAGTTCCAAGCCTCCAAGGAAAGCTCTAGGGCGTGCGTCGCCTGCACCCAGAGGCTCGGATCGCCACATTTCTTCGGCGAGGCTCCCCAGCGAATGCGTCTGATGCCCGCCCCTTGGCCATCCACCCCTTTTGCCTCCGCCGCGCCCCAACTTTCTCCTCATCGCGCCTGCGACTCGTCTCCGCCCTCCTCGCCCCCCCTCGAGGAAGAAAATCCCCCCCTGGCGGCAGAAGACCCTAAATAGCATATTGAACGAGAACGTACTGCAGCATACTGTGCAGGCAAGATCGCATACGTGCGAGTACGGGGGTCAATACGGAAGACCATGCGGAGGATCATGCAGGGGATCATATATGAGACCATCGATTGGAGATTACACGTGAGACAACATGGGAGACCCCACGGGAGACCATCACGTGAGCGATTACGGGGCCAGCAACCGTTCCCGCGGCCGATTGTTTGAGCCGTTTATAGAATTGTTACAGACGAGTTTCGTAAACATGCTTGCCAGTGGGGGCCCGAAACATGAGCTCTTGCACGCTGCGTGTGTAAGCTATGTGGTGCACGCTGTGTTGTTCCAGCTGCGCGCGCTGCATGCAATTCGGTGCAAGTGGTGCAAACACTGTTGGGCAATTGGCATAGCGCAAGCTATGTGTGTGGCGCAAGCTATGTGTGGTGCAGGCCCGGTGGTATGCGCCATGTGGTGAAAGGAGCTGCGCGGTGGCAGCTCTGTTCGGTTCGGGCCTTGAGGGGGCCGAACACGTGCGATACAGGTGATTGAAACAGACGAACGAGTGTGATTAAACAAACAGGTGTGATAACAAGACCGAGCGAGTGTGTGTGTGTGTGTGTGTTCGTGTGTGTGTGTGTGTGTTTTATCGCACTTGCTCGGAACGTTTTTTTGTTATCACGCAGATGAGCGGCGCACGCCTTGCCGTGCAGGCCGCGGCGTGCCCACGGCGCGCTCGCGCGGCGCCGCCCACAAGAGGCGCCCGCGGGTGCCGCCCGCCGGGCGACACACCCCGCGACTCGACACGGCCCCACGGGCCGGCGCGCGGGGCGCCCGCGCGGCGCCCGCGCGGCCGCCCGCCGGGGCGACATGCCACCCGCCCACATGGGAGATGCCGCACCTGATTGGCACGACTAGCACGAGGAGGAGGAGGAGGAGGAGGAGGAGGAGGAGGAGGAGGAGGAGGAGGGGGAGGAGGAGGGGAGGAGGAGGAGGAGGAGGAGGAGGAGGAGGAAGAGGAGGAGGATTTTTTATTAACATCAACCGTGGCAAAGCTACCCACATACTCCCATTGTGTTGGGCGAGGACACAATGGGGCCGCCTGTCATACAGACATTTTCAGCTGGACAGGGTAAAAAACGGCGACGACGGCAAAGGACTAGTCAGATCCCGATTCGGGGTCCACGCTGGTCCTGACTCGTTCGCTCTGGTCGCGCGTCGCTGCCAGCAGGCGCAGCGACGTCGCTACTCTGCGCAGCTCCCGGGCACGCACCGCATCCTCTTTCTCAGGGGAGGGAGGCACGGCGAGAGAGGGAGGATCATCCTGCTCGTCACTCCACGGTTTAACGCTGATGGGAACGCCGTCTCGCTTGGGGTGGTGGCCTGCCGCCAGAAGATTCCACGAATACCGCCTTCCCTGCGCCCCCGTCCGGGGCATGGGACGGCAGGGAGCTCGTAAACCTCTGACTTGACCCCCGCTGGTACAATATTTACAGCGGAGACAAACAAAAATAAAACTGTTGTCGCTGGCATCGAGAAACAGCATGTTGTCCCCCAGCGCTGCGAGCGCTGGAGCATCGTAGCCACGGATTCCGACTGCAGGACCTCCCCGGCAGACTCCCTCGGGCGGTTTGGACACAGCCCTGGACCCGCCGAAACAAACCTCACACCGCCAAAAACGCCCCGTCCAGGACCAAACATGCCCTGGAGGCTTCTCACGCTCAGCAGGCGGCTGTCTCTGCAGGGGGCGAACAAGACAGATCCAGCTTCGGCCACAACGGCAAAACAGTGGCGGCCAAAACACAAGTGGCTTTAGCAATCAAAAGCTGGCGCACTAGACTCTGCAATTGCTCTGAGGATGGTGCTGGGTGTTTGGCGGCTGCAGCTTTAGCCAATGCGTCGGCTGCATCGTTCCCTGTCTTTTGGTACCGAGCCTCTACGCTAAGGTCAGGGTCGTCTGCCACGTGTGCCTTGACCTTTATAACTTCGCTTAAACCTGTCGGCTGCAGGAACAGAAAACACCCCGCATAGGGTCGCTTAAAAGAAACTTGTTCTTGAACGGGCATGGCGAATTGTTTGACCACGTATAGACAGTCCGAAAGCCCTCGGCTCCCTGGGAGGGCCACTTGGCCAGCAGCAGATAGCGCGCAGAACTCGGCTGCCTGAGGAGGTTGGGGCAAGGGGCTGTGGAGGGGAGCGCTACCGTGACATAGGACGTGCTGGTCATTATCGTACACTATGTAAGCCCACCCGCTCCGAGAAAGCTCCGGAACCACACTCCGCAAACAGCTCCCGTCGACGAAAAAATCGCCATGGACTCCTAGCTCCCTGCAGCCATCTCTCTGGGGCTACAGAACGTCGATCGACATGTCGCCCGTAGGCCGGGGGAAGATGTCCCCGGGATGCTCGAAGAGGCCACGCGTGAAGAGGAGGAGCTCTGCCGGGTCCGTGAAATCCACTTCCGACAGGTTTGGGAGCTTCCGGAAGCGGCTCAAGACGTCTTCTCTGGCATCCCGACAAGCTGGGCAAAACCAGAGCCTATGGAGGAGCGTGTCCTCTGCGCCCATGCACAAGCTACAAGTCAGATCCTCGATCTGGTACCCCTTCGATTTCGCGAAACTCTTGGTCCAGACACCTCCACAACCAAGTGATCGGATAC